TTTTCACTTTTTCAACTTGAATTTACATTTTTATTTTCAAAATCGGACAGAAGACCTCTCATTGCTCGCAATGAGTTTCTAGTCTTCTTATTATTTTTCTTCCTGGGTACTTATTTGTCCATTAATGATCTCGTAATCTACTCATCCGATTGAGATGAAACCTTTTTAGGGTAACTAGGCATCTTATGTAGATTTGCGGAATGAAGGTCATTTTGCGTGCATTGCGTAAAATGACCAATATACTTGATATAGCTGTAACTTTTATATTTTTTGATGAAATGCTTTGATACTCAGAACATAAGGATATATCAAAAGTGTAAACAAGGTGACATGGTCAACATGCACATGCATGCACGTGCGCGCATGCGCAAAGCGTTAAATGACCAATATACTTGATATAGTCGTAACTTTGATACTTTTTGATGAAATGCTTTGATACTCAAAATATTTATATATATTAGAAGTGTAGACAAGATGACATGGTCATCATGCATATGCATGCACGTGCGCGCGCATGCAATATGTTAAATGACCAATATACTTAATATAGCCGTAATTTTTATATTTTTTGTTGAAATGCTTTGATATTAAGAATATACAGATATATTAAAAGTGTAGACAAGCTGATGTGGACATCATGCACATGCATGAACATGCGCGCACGTGCAGTGTGTTAAATGACCAATATACTTAATATAGCCATAACTTTTATATTTTTTTATGAAAAGGTTTGATACTAAGAATAAACAGACATATTATAAGTGTAGAGAAGAAGGCATGGTCATTATGATCATGCATGCAGGTGCGCATGTGCGCAATGCTAAGATGACCAATATACTTGATATAGCCGGAACTTATATATTTTTTGATACTGAGAATATAAAGATGCATCAATAGTATAGACGGGGTGACATGGTCATCCTGCACATGCATGCACATGCGCGCTCGTGAAATGCAAAAAAGACCAATATACTTCATTGCCTCTTTTAATGAAGCTTACAGGAAATAAGACACCAAAAGGGTGTTGGGGAGCGTTTGAGGAACATCTGTAACGGTCCCTGTTACAATTATAACTAGTTTCTATATACTTTAGAGACTACCCGTAAATCTTTCAGAAAACTTTCTTTGGGGTCATTTCTACAGTTCCCTGAAATTTTATGTTGATCCAAGGTGTTGATTTAGTTTTAGAGTTATATTCTATGTTGCTATTGGTTTGATTTTTAGCTCCAATGAGCTGAAAGCTCAAGTGAGCTTATCTGGTCACCCGTTGTCCATCATCTGTCTGTCCGTCTGTCCGTTCGTCCTTCTGTAACCTTTTCACATTTTTGACATCTTCTCAAGAACCACTGGGCCAGTTTTTACCAAAATTGATACAAAGCATCCATGGGTGAAGGGGAGTTTAAATTGTTTAAATAAAGGGCCAAGTTCGCTTCCAAGGGGAGATAATCAAGAAAAGACAAAAATAGGGTGGGGTCATAATAAAATCTTCTCAAGAACCACTGGGCCAGACAAGCTGAAACTTGTGTGGAAGCATCCTGGGGTAGTGTAGATTTTAAATTGTTCAAATCATGACCCCCTGGGGTAGGGCAGGGCCACAATAGGAAATCGAAGTTTTACATTGAAATATGTAGAAAATATCTTTAAAATTCTTCTCAAGAACTATCACCAGGGAAATGGCTCCCATTTCACTTTTGATAACTTTTTACACATATTTTCACATTCTAAATTCTTATACTTGATTTACTTTAATATTTTCCATTTTCATATATTTTTTTTAATAACATCAAAAGCATTCCTGATTGATTATTTGTTAAACATATCCAAGCTGTTGTTTACTTCTTAGTCCCCAAGAATATTTAGTGATTTTACAGTAATTGTTAATCTTAATTGTCAAGACTTTGCTCATGGCACTGGGACTCTTAGGTGTTAAGTAAATTAAATATTACCTCTTTGACTTCGTGACATCAAAGGATGACACTTTTATCAGTCAATTAAAGGATTAGTTATTAGTGACAGATTGGAACCTTAGGCTATATTTTAAGTAAGGATTAAGGGGGCTCTCTACAACGTCACAACATGGCGTACTTCCGTTTGAAACCCATTTTGGTCCGAAATGAACTGATTCTGTCCTAAACAAATTCACAGAACACCGATAAATCACCGGGTATAACACAACTTGTGAGATGTATACTAGCTCTATTTTGAATGGAATCTAAGACTATTCCGTCGAGGTGATGAGAGTAGCCAATGTAGCCTTTCATTAAACATGAATTGTTTGTCAATAAATTCAGTTTCAACTTTTTTTTATTCATAAACAATATAATTTATTAAAATAAAATATGATTATAAGTAATTAAAAGTTAATATGATAAACCAAAGCCTTGTCACCATGATATTTGATCATTGCGTGTCAAACCCACTCATATGTTTCCATAAAGTCCTAAATTGATGCTTCTCTCCAAAAGCATATGCTTTCCAGCAAAATATATCCAAAAATGAAAATTTAAACAGATAAAGCATATGTATCACCTTCCCATCGCCTAGAGGAGACACCCTGTTCCCAACAAGTATACATCCCACATGTGTGGTTATACCCGGTGAAATTTAAACTTTTCATGAAATCACCAAAACACTCTGATAATAAATGGAATTATATTAACTCAAACATTTGATCAATATCGATTATCAGCTGTTTTGTATCGAAAACGTGCAGATTTGAAACAAAGTAGGAATTTCGTAATACGAATTTCTTTAACCCGCTTTTGACCATTTACGTGTCATGTCATCCGTAGCACAGGATAATACTTGTACATAAAAGTTGGATGAAAACGGTAAGTAAATCTACTTTTATCAATACTATGAATTCCCTTTTCATGTTTTGACTAGAAATGTGTGAGTCTTTGCTTAAATTCATTCAAAAACAATACAATACGAACTTCTTTCGATGTCCTAGTTTGGCATGTACCTATTAATTCCTTTTTTCAATACCTGTGCAAGTTTTAGAAGAATTAGATTAAATGTATTTGAGCCCAAGATATTTGAGCCCACTCTCTAAACGGAACTTTGACACCTAAATTTTTGTGATGGTTAAAATTTTCGTCAATTTCTCAATGTCATTCAATTTTTTTTCATCCTTTTAACCCTTTGATATTATATTTATTTTCAGATTTTGCAGGAAATCTGACCAGTTCTTCTCATGAAAATGCTGTTTTAGTTTTTCTTTTGTCTATTATTGTAAATTCAAATAAAAAATTATGTAGATTTCATATAACTTTGTTGGTTTTCATTTCAAGATTTTATAAAATTAAACTTTGAATAGAAAATTAAAGCATAAGGCTTTTAAAAATAAAGAATCAAGAGGTTTCTACAAAATAAATTAAATATTTTAAATATTTCCAAAAAATAAAGTTAAATACTTTGGAGCTTTATTTTATTGGATATTGAGTCTATTATTAGGAACAAATGCATGAAACAAAAATCATTTATACTTCATAGGTGTAGAGATCCTCCTTAATTCCACTTTAACTTTAACTTTGGTTTCTTTTAGGTAGAGTATGTTTTTAGACCTTGAGCTGAAAGGTTGGAAAATCAGTAAGAGCCATGTAGGAAATTAGGAAACAACTTTATTCAATTGTTTAGGCCCTATCTTCTAAATCTACTTAGGAACATTTTGGACTTGCATACTTTTGTGTTTGTAAATGTGAATTATTTCAATATCCGATATTGAATAAACTGTTATTTAATCCTGTTATTCGGACCTCCTGTGTTTGTGCAATATTTCCCAATCCTTGAGTTATATTCCCCAATGAACGTGACCCTTGAGTTATATTCCCCAAATGAACGTGAACCGCAGAATTATGTCCAAGACATACCAGCGCGTGATCACAGAACCACTTGGCCAGAAAAGCTGAAGCTTATGTGGAAGCATCCTGGGGTAGTGTAGATTTCAAATTGTTCAAATCATGACCCCAGGGGGTAGGGCGGGACTACAATAGGGATCCAAGATTTACAATGAGATATAAAGGAAAAATCTTCTTCTCAAGAACCACTGGGCTAGAAAAGCTGAAACTTATGTGGAAGCTTCCTTTGGTAGTGTATATTCTAAATTGTTCAAATCATGACCCCCGGGGATAGGGTGGGGCCACAATAGGTAATCGAAGTTTTACATTGAAATATGTAGAAAAAAATCTTTAGAAATCTTCTTCTCAAGAACCACTGGGCCAGAAAAGCTGAAACTTATGTTGAAGCATCCTGGGGTAGTGTAGATTCTAAATTGTTCAAATCATGACCCCTGGGGGTAGGGCGGGGCCACAATAAGTACTACAAGGGGGAAATCAGGTGACGAACAGCAGGGCCAAAGTTACTCAGGTGAGCGTTGTGGCCCATGGGCCTCTTGTTTTCAATTTAATTTGAAAAGGGAAGGGGTTAAACAATTGATAATTGAAAGTTGTATCTTTCTCCATGTCCCTTAGGTTGATGTGAATTTAAAGTCAAAGTTCAAGGTCATTTTTAAAAAAAAAATTCTTTACTTTTTAGTCTTTAGACTGAGACATAAACTGAAAACTGGATTTGTTGCATGTCCTTAATTAAACTTCTTTCCTTGGGTCAAAGGTCAAGGTCATTTGGGTAATTGATATATTTTTATACATATGTAAGAAATTTCTTATGGTTTTAAATGACTTTGACCTTGACCTGAATTCCAATTACGTACTTAAGTATGACCATATTTTAGCACTTTTTGTGCTGCTGTCCACTAATTTGTGAACATTCTAATATATGATCAAACTGATACCTGTTGTAGCAAAATCTCTAGTATGCTAATTTATGACTGCTCTAATCAGTTGAAGAGGATGACTTTCAGTGCTCTAATGTATGTAAGATTACAGTAATGCAAAGTTTACATATCTTGTTTATAAACAAGTTATTACCAAACATGCAGTCAGGATGGAAACTTACAAAATATTTGTTGAGTTTAACATTGTATTATTAAATTCTAACAGTGTACCATGCCCTCTACCTCGAACACCTGACAAGTCAGGAACTTCTGGAAAAGCTTGCCCAGCTCTACAATGTCAGTGCAGATCAGATTGGAGAATTGTACTGTCAGGGACCCTCAGGAATTTATGTCCTCCTCAATGATGAGGTCCTTCAAAACATGTCCGAACAGTCAAGATTCTGTGTGGAGGCCATGAAATGTAAGTTTTAGTGCACTTTTCAATACTGAATGCTTGTGACTATTAATTAGCTCCACTTGTCAGAGACAGAAGAGCTTATGTAAGGGTAAATGTACGAGTAGTGCTCCATTCCTTGAAAATAATGGCTCCGAGGCCCCTTCAGGGCCAAGATCCATTGCTTTGAAGGAATATATTAACCCACGTAAAATCCACCTTTTTATGCCCCCGGATCGAAAGATCCCGGGGGTATATTGTTTTTGTCTGGTTGTCTGTTTGTCTGTTTGTCTGTCTGTCTGTTGTCAACTTTAACCTTACCCATAACTTTTGATTGGAAGAAGCTATGACTTTCATATTTCACATGTGTATTCCTTATGACAAGACCTTTCTTTGGGTACCATCATATTTAACCTTTTGACCTTGACCTTGGAGTTTGACCCACTTTTGCAAAATTTTATGAGACTTTAACCTTGGCCATAACTTCTGAACAGTTGGTGCTTGGGGTTTCAAACTTCACATGTGTATTCTTTGTGACAAGGCCTTCCTTTAGATACCAACAACTTTGACCTTTTGACCTTGACCTTGGAGTTTGACCTACTTTTGAAAAACTTTAACCTTGGCCATAACTTTTGAATGGTCAGTGCTTGGGGTTTCAAACTTCACATGTGTATTCCTTGTGACAAGACCTTCCTCTGAATATCAACCCCTTTGACCTTTTGACCTTGACCTAGGAGTTCGACCTTCTTTTGAAAAACTTTAACCTTGGCCATAACTTTTGAATGGTTGGTGCTAGGGCTTTCATTCTTCACATATGTAATCCTTGTGACAAGACCTTCCTTTGGATACCAACCACTTTGACCCTTTGACCTTGACATAGGAGTTTGACCTACTTTTGAAAAACTTTATCCTTGGCCATAACTTTTGAATGGTTCATGCTAGGGCTTTCATACTTCACATATGTAATCCTTGTGACATCACCTTCCTTTGGATACCAACCACTTTGACCCTTTGACCTTGACATAGGAGTTTTACCTACTTTTGAAAAACTTTAACCTTGGCCATAACTTTTGAATGGGTTGGTGCTAGGGCTTTCATTCTTCACATATGTAATCCTTGTGACAAGACCTTCCTTTGGATACCAACCACTTTGACCCTTTGACCTTGACATAGGAGTTTGACCTACTTTCGAAAAACTTTAACCTTGGTCATAACTTCTGAATGGTTGGTGCTAGGGCTTTCATACTTCAGATATGTAATCCTTGTGACAAGACCTTCCTTTGGATACCAACCACTTTGACCATGACCTTGACAGTTGACTTTTATTTTAAAAAACTTTAACCAATGCCATAACTTTTGAACAGTTGCAGCTAGGTCTTTCAAATTTCACAGATATTTTCTTATATAGACAAGACCTTTCTTTGGGTATTAACATTTTTTATCTTTTGGCCTGGATTTTGACTTGCATTTGAGATACTTTAACCTTCGCCATTAGCTGCCATACGGGGGCATCAGTGTTTCACAAACACATCTTGTTAATTGCTTGTAATTATTGTTTGTTTATATATAATAAAGAATATTTATAAGATACACTGTAAATATACATTTAGCATATCAGTAGTATTTATTTATATATAGAGAGAAAGTAAGGCGAAAAAAGTGTACCGAAGTTATTTAAATCCGCAGACATTCAACAGCTTGGATAGCATAGTAAGATAAGTACCTGACTACAAAGGTGAGGGCACCGGGTTTGATTCTCAACAGTGTCACATTTATTTTATGTGATAATAAACTTGTTAAAATTTTCAAAGTCCTTTCCTTGGTAGAGGCACGGGAAGAAGAATACGAACATAGCAAATTCTGTTTTCAATGTAATTTGCAGTTCTCCATTCCTGAAAAATAATGGAGCACTTAAACAAAAGAGTGACGTCACAGGTGGCTTTTACGCATTAATAAGGTGTCCATTGTCTGTCTGACCATAAACAATTTGTCATGCTACTCATCCTACAGTTACCAGATACATAATTCTACATATTGATTTGTGATTTGGACAGACAGTGTTGCCATGTTTTCTAAAAAATAGAAATTTCTTTGAAAAAATCTTTCAAAACGCTACTCCTCCCACAGTATTGGTCCAATTAAAATAAGACTTTGTACATAAGTAGACTATATAAATAAAAATTCTGCACACTCAGGGGATATAACCATGCTCACCCTCATGAAAATCTAGATTATCCATGGACAAAATGTCATTAGCTCACCTCAAATAAGTCAAGATGATCTTATGCTATACTTCCGGTGTCGGCATTAGCGCCAGCGTCCCGGTTAAAGTTTTAGGAGCAAGTACATTCCCAAGTAACTATAAGCCCTACCTGGACCAAACTTGCATGGATGATGCATCTAGGGATGGACACTACCACACTTGCTTCGGATGCTGGATCTGACCTAGATTTTTAGCTCTTCTGAGCCAAAGGCTCAAAGAGCTTATGCTATGGCCAATTGTGTGGTGTGCATAAACTTTTTAGAATATGGACCATAACTCAAGAACCCCTTGGCGAATTATTGTCAAATTAATCACAGGGTATCCTAGGCCCAAGGGCTCCCGTTTACACTAAAACTAGGGTTATGAACCTTAAACAAGGGGAGATAATTAGGAAAATGGAAACAAATGTACTGGTTGCTAAAAAATCTCCATCTCTAGAACCACTGGGCAGATTATCACCAAACTTACACAAAAGGATGAGGATATATTATAGATCGAAATTGTTCAAGGTATCACCATGGGGCAAAGGGCGAGGTCTCAAAGTCACTTCAAAGTTGACCAAAGATTACATTTTATTAAAATAATGATATTTTGCTTACTATAAGGACTAGGATCATCAAATCTTGTCAGTTGATACATCTAAGGACCTCATATCATGTTGACTCAAAAGTAGGTCACAGTGACCTTTTTTTTTTAAATTTTGCAGCCATTCTTTTTCAAAATTATTTAGAGATATATTTTGAACAATTTAAGGCCTATGATCTTCAAACTTTGTCAGTTGATGTATCTTGGGTCTTCGGAGTATGTCAACTTAAAAGTAGGTCACCTACTTTTTGAATTTTATGGCTAATCTTTTTCAAAACAATTAAGGTCATTAATTCGAATACTGAGAGGTTTAGAATCATTGATGCATCTTGGGGCCATGAAACATATTTATTAAAAAGTAGGTCACAGTGACCTACTTTTGAACTTTGCAGGGATTCGATTTCAAAGCGTTTTAGAGGCACAATTTGAACATTTCAAGGCCTATGATCATAAAGCTTTGTAAGTTGATGCATCTTGGGTTCTGAAAAAACCTCAACTGAAAAGTAGGTCACTGTGACCTACTTTTGAAATTTTATGGCTATAATTTTATGGTCTTAATATAACATACATATAACCAAAGGCTTTCTTTAAATCTGTGGTGAAAAAAGTGTTAGGTATAATAATAATATAATAATAAAACAAGACAAAAACAATAGGGCTTTTCGCCTGAAAGCGAAAAGCCCTAACTAGAACTTTTTTGTCGTTCAACAAAAACGGAGGGCTTTACGACGCTTAAAATCTTCAGCACCTTAAAGAGAGATAATTCTAACAAGATGAAAAAATATAAAAACTAATCATTCTGGATCTAGTTTTCGGAAGCGTATAAAAATTGAAACTTAAAAAGTATGTAAGTCTCTCAACAGCTCCGCGAAGGGAGATAACTCTTACAGTGTTATTGTTAATAAAACAAGACAAAAACAATAGGGCATTTTGCCTGAAAGCGAAAAGCCCAAACTAGACCTTTATTGTCCTTCAACAAAAACGGAGGGTTTTTTGACCCCTAAAAAATTATGAAGCTACAAAGAGAGATCAATCTAACATTATGAAAACTTATAGGGTTCATAAACCCTAAAGTTCTTTGAGATCCCTACTGAACTGGAAATGTGTCCATCAAGGACAATTCAAAGAGACATAACTCTTTCATGACTATTTAAGCATTAACAAAAAATACTGTACTTCAATCCACTTAAACTCCTATAAGGGGACAAAAAATGACCCCATGGGCCATAATTTTTACATAGTATTCTTAATGCTAAACCAAAAAACGGTTTGAAAATTGGTTAAGAAATAAAAAAAAGTTACAAAGAAAAGTCTTTCAGGTTTGACCGCTTGAAATCCCATATTTTCCCTTTCTTAACTCACCTGAGCTGAAAGCTCAAGTGAGCTCTTCTGATCACCTGTCGTCCGTCCGTCTGTCCGTCCGTCTGTCTGTCCGTCTGTAAACTTTTCACATTTTCGACTTCTTCTCAAGAACCACTGGGCCAATTTTCACCAAACTTAGTACAAAGCAACCTTGGGTGAAAGGGAGTTTAAATTGTTAAAATGAAGGGCCAAGTCCCCTTCAAAGGGGAGATAATCAAGAAAATACAAAAATTGGGTGGGGTCATTAAAAAATCTTCTCAAGAACCACTGGGCCAGAAAAGCTGAAACTTATCTGGAAGCATCCTAAGGTAGTGTAGATTCTAAATTGTTCAAATCATGACCCCCGGGGTTAGGGCGAGGTCACAATAGGGAATCCAAGTTTTACATTGAAATATGTAGTTAAAATCTTTAAAAATCTTCTTCTCAAGAACCACTGGGCCAGAAAAGCTGAAACTTACTTGGAAGCATGCTGGGGAAGTGTAGATTCTAAATTGTTTAAATCATGACCCCCGGGGGTAGGACTGGGCCATAATAGGGAATCCAAGTTTTACATTGAAATATATAGAAAAAATCTTTAAAAATCTTCTTCTCAAGAACCACTGAACCTGAAAAGCTGAAACTTATGTGGAAGCATGCTGGGGTAGTGTAGATTTTAAATTGTTCAAATCATGACCCCCAGGGGTAGGGCGGGGCCACAATAGGGAATCCAAGTTTTACATTGAAATATATAGGAAAAATCTTTAAAAATCTTCTTCTCAAGAACCACTGGACCTGAAAAGCTGAAACTTATGTGGAAGCATGCTGGGGTAGTGTAGAT